TCACACTTTAATGATGGTATTAAATTATTGGAAAAACGTTGGAATAAATGTATTGAAGTTTCAGGAGATTATATTGAAAAATAAAATATTTCACGGCAAAACAAATTTTCTTTTATTGTTAGGCCGAGAACTTTTCAGACTGCCCTTGTATATATATATATATATATATATATATATATATATATATTAAGAAAAGGAAAACGAGAGAGAGAAAGAGGAAGAAAGAACAAAATAAACAAGCATATAGAAATATATATGCACACTTACCAATCAGGTCTGTTCATTTTATTGCTGCAAGCCATATTTCTGTTCGTTGCACATCTTTTGGAAATTGGTGCCTTGGAATATTTTTATTTAATGTGCAATTGGACACAACATTTATGCACCATATTTCTACAAATGTAGCTAAAATTTTAATTGTATTATAACTATGACTATAACTAATAACTATAATAAATTATATAATAAATTGAAATCTAATATATATTATAATATCTAATATAATAAATAATATATAAACTAATAACATATAATATAATATCTAATATAATAAGGATATATAAAATATTGTAATAACTATATATATGTAATGCAATCACTATTATTTACTAATAATAATTAAACACTATAAATCACTTAAACACTATCAATTAAACACTTAAACACTATAAATCACTTATACACTTAAACACTATAATTTACTATACAACTAAAAATGAAAAAAACACGTTATAATATATTACAGAATATTCACTACATAAACACTAATAGCACTGAAAAATTTGCGTTTAGCGTTAATTGCACTATGCTGTATTGAATTGTTTAACCATTAACGGTCAAGGCAAAACAAGTCAAAATCAACTTATGGACAAGGGAAAGAGATAGGAAAAGAGAGGGATCGACTGTGCTGTCGCCTGGAGCACCGACCACTGAACTGAACTTTCGAAAAAATACGGGGAGTTTGAACCCCCTGGACTCGGCAGTCTCGATTGAGATAGATCGCGCTCATTCCCAATGAGCGCTCGTCGCTTCTACCCCCTCCTCTCATCGTGGGGCAACGACAGTGTCAGGAGTCGACAGCGTCAGGAGTCGCCAGCGTGAGCAGTCAGGAACGAGCAGGAGCAGAACAGCAAATTGCACACCTCTAGTTATTTTCAGGGTTGAAAAACTTACTTTGTAAAAGTATTTAGTTATAGTTAGTTTTTTCACTGAAAAAGTAACTAGTTACTGACCTTCAAAAATAATATGTTACAGTTGTAGTATTTAGTTATTTAGAAAGTAACGAGTCGTTACTTTTCAGTTACTTTTTTACAATAATCGTGCTATTTTTAATTTCGTAATTGTGTAAATTCTTTCAATTTTATATAAAAGTAGTTTGTTGATTATATTCCTCATTTGTACATAATTTTTACAAATTAGATTCATTAATTTAAATGAACAATTCATATTTATTCTTTAAGACTATTAATAATTATAAGAAAATGAATGAATTTGATGAGGATTATAAATATTAAAAATACTAAATGTAATCTTAACATCAAAAATTAGATTTTTTCACTAAAAACTATATTGATATTTTATAAATAAAGGCACACTCATATATGTTCTTAAATTTGCAGTTGAAGTTCTACTTGCATGAATAATTCTTTTTGCCAACGCAAATTTTGTAGAGAAATGCCGTTATTCTTGTCTCCAAATTTTTGCTGTAACTCAAATATTTCTCCATATGCTGGCCATAGCATTTTGCAATCTTTTTCCGAAGATTGAGATGTTTTATCCATTGCTTGAATTTTGTATATAACTGAAAGCACACAGCATATTTCACGCTGAACGCAGGTTATAAAACAAATAAAGACTGGCGATGCGCGGCGGAAATGTCTAACAGATATACAATTTTTTTTAAAGAAATACATGTTGCATTCGGAGAGGAGACGATCAGCGCTGTTGCGTCATTTTATCCTTGTTTTACATCTAATGAACGATAAAGATAGATGACGTAGTAGCATGTTTTCCAAATGCAGCCAGAACTTTATGCTTATTGGATATCAAACATCGTATGTTGTATTATCGTGCTAATCTGCCAGAAACTCAAGTTTAAAATATATAAAGTAACTATTAAAACAACTATTAAACAACTATTAAATTACTTACTAATTATCAAACAAATATAACTAAGTTAAGTTACAGTTACAGATGGGAAAAACGGAATGAAATTAAGTTATAGTTACCATAAAAAATAACTATAATTGTAATTTCGTTACAAGTAACGAGTTACTTCTCAACCCCGGTTATTTCTGATATCTAAGAATATATCAGGTGTAGTAAAAAGAAATCCATTATTTTTGCATGAAATTGAAGGCTTTAATTACCATAGTTAGAATTATCCGATTTAGGTCAAATATGCGCCGTTTTGTTCGATAACTTGTTGCCATTTTGAAGGTAATTTCATTATGCCTCTCTCATAGAAGCCCTCGTCCCTATTGGAAAAAAATTGAGACAGTCGATTTTCACAAGCCTCTCTTGAAGCGAATTTTTCACCAGCAAAATTGTTCGCCATGGACAGGAACAGATGGTAATCACTTGGTGCCAGGACTATAAGGTCCTATATGGTCCGGACTATAAGGTGGATGCATAAGAACCTCCCAACCAAGCTCCCGGAGCTTCTGGCGAGTCACTATCGATGTGTGTGGCCTGGCGTTGTCCTGATGGAACACAATTCCTCTCCTATTGGCCAAAGCTGGCCGCTTCTGGGCGATTGCTTCCTTCAGACGGTCCAATTGTTGACAATACAATTCCGAGTTAAGAGTTTTGCCGTAGGGGAGCAGCTCATAGTAGATAATTCCCTGCCAATCCCACCAAACACACAGCAAAACCTTCCTGGCCGCTAATCCTGGCTTGGCCACCGTTTCCACCGGCTCACTGCGATTCGACCACGACCGTTTTCGCTTGACGTTGTCGTAAGTGATCCACTTTTCATCACCAGTGACCAACCGCTTCAGAAATGGGTCGATTTTGTTGCGATTCAGCAGCGATTCGCAGATGGAAATTCGGTCCATGAGGTTTTTTGCGTTAACTCGTGTGGCACCCATACATCGAGCTTCTTTTTGTATCCAGCCTTATTCAAATGGTTCCAAACGGTTTTTTGTGCAATCTTTAGCTCTTGGGCAATCGAAACAGTGCTTACATGACGGTCGGACTCGACAATGTCCATGATTTTATCGATATTTTCGACAATTGGCCTTCCAGTGCGTGGTGCATCTTTGACATCGAAATTACCGGAACGGAATCGACGAAACCAAAATTGCGCGTGATTGGCTGTTACAGTATCAGGATCATAAACACTATTCACATTTTCAGTCGCCTGGCTTGCGTTTTCGCCTTTACCGAAGAAAAACTGTAAAATATAGCGTATTTTCTCTTTGCTAGTCTTTGCCATCTTTGACGCGCGCTCAAACAAAACTGAGTCAACTAATCACAAAACTGTCACAAAAGTTCTTTAAGTACGAAATCTCATCTTTCTAACGCCATCTAGTGGAACCTGATCGGACTTATACAACGCGAGATACAGATAACTAAAGCCATCTATTGGAAAAATAATGGATTTTTTTTTACTACACCTGATATGTACATACATATTAGGTTGTCTAAAAAGTATTGAGCCTTTGGAGGTCAAAATTGAGAATATATTCATTGTTATTTGAAAATAACATTATGAAACCACATATGCACCATTTTGTTCGATGACCTTCTGCCATTTTTCCGGCAACACCATAATCCCATCGCTATAGAACTTCTGTGGTTTCTGATCAAAAAATTGTGATACATAGTTCTCACAGGCCTCTTTTGAAACTAACTTAACACCATTCAAGTTCTGCAGAGACCGAAACAAATGATAATCTGACGGTGCCAGGTCCGGGCTATACAGTGGATGCATTAAAACCTCCCAGCCAAATTCTCTCAATTTCTGACGGGTCGTTAAAGATGCGGTCCGGCATTGTCAGCGTGGTATATGACACCCTTTCTATTGACTGTTCCGGCCGTTTCTTTTGAATTGCTAGGTGCAATCGCGCTAATTGTCAACAGTACAGGTCCGAGTCTATCGTTCTGCCTGGCGGCAGCAGCTCGTAATGCACGATGCCCTTCCAATCCCACCAAACACACAGCATAACCTTCCTGGGCGTCAGTGTGAGCTTTGCCACAGACTGTGGAGCTTCTCCTCGCTTTAACCACGATCTTTTTCGCACATTGTTGTCGTAGATTATCCACTTTTCATCACTCGTGATTAACCACTTCAGAAATGGCTCGATTTCGTTACGTTTCAATAGATTCGCAGATAGAAATTCGATTGAGTAAATTTTTTTGAGTCAGATCATGTGGCACCCAAACATCGAGCTTCTTTTTGTAACCAGCTTTCTCCAAATAGTTTAACACTGTTTGGTGACGGATGTTTAGGTTATTGGCAATGTCATGACTGCTTACATGTCGGTCTTGCTCGACTTTTGCCAGAATATCATCCACTTTTTCTGTGATTGGTCGTCCACTGCGAAGAACATCTTGGACATCGAAATTTCCAGAACGAAAGCGACTGAACCATCTTTTGGCTGTTGCTTTTGATAACGTATCTTGCCCATAAACAGCACAAATTTCTTCACGGGCCTGCGCAACATTTGCGCCTTTATCGAAATAAAATTGTAAAATATAGCGCAGTTTTGCGGAAAGTTCACTCATCTTCATGGCGCAATATCTTACATCTGATTATAAGAATTCCAACACTTTTTGTACGTCTACTAGCTTCAACTGTCATCTGTCAAATGATGTTAGGTCTGACCTGCTGCGACTCATATACCCTGAGATTTGGGACATTAACGCTATCTCGTGCGCAAAAGGCTCAATACTTTTTATACAACCTGATATTATAGGAAAACATTAAAACTGCATTGTACTTATGAAACTTCTTTTATTTATAACTTGCTAATAAACATTTGCTTTACTTATAAGCAGTACGTGTTTCTAATAACGCGAAGCCTTTTTTCTGTATGTGTTTACCGAACCTAAATGTACATAGTGTCGAAAAATTATGCTTAATTAATGAAACTTCTTTTGTTAATAATTTTTTAACAAACAACGAGCGACGATTAAAACTTTTTGCATGTTGCTCAGAATGATGACCTTGATAACATATGTTAAGGTCGATGTCATTGCAGTATCGTCCTCTAAACAAGAGTTTCACCATTCTTGTTTATAGTTACAGTAGAATTATAATTCACCAAGTTAGTTCTATGAGAAATAAGTCTAGCATATGTATGATCTGAATTGAATGATGCACGTGGTCCACGATGTCGGTTTAAACAAACTGTAATAAAGAATAAATTAAATAAAGAAATATTTCATGAGGTGATGTGAATATAGATTTGTACTACTGCACCAGGTACTGCGGTACTGAATATCGTATGTTTGTAGCTAAGTTAATAGTGCGCACAAAAGAGACATGGTCCTCGAGCTATATATCTATCCTTTACACAAGTGGACTGCACAATTCTATAGTTTATATGGAAGGCCAAAGACATATTAGGTGTTTGAATTAATTCTTGCTGTTGACTAATAGAAGTCAGTAGTTGTGCTATTTCAACATGGCCGAAAGTGACCGTTGATGTATATGAAAGTACTGTCAATAGACCTTAATAATCAGTGTGTAACATTAGATCGAAGTGCAAAGAACACAATTTTTTATTGCACTGAAGATGTCCGATTCCATACCAAAAAAGAGCATTTGCGGGAAGCATTATTTTTCTGCTTTTATTTTAAGAAATCTGCTACTGAAAGTCACCGTCTAACTAGTGGAGGCTTATGGGAAGCATGCTCTGAAACAACTTGCAGAGATTGGTTTAGACGAAAGACAACGATTTTGACGTGAATGACAAAGAGCGTCCGAAAAAGTCAGCCGAAAAAGTTTGAAGATGGAGAATTAGAGGCATTACTGAAGCATTACTACATGATTTGAGAGAGAGACATTGTGAAACGTTTATGAATTGCTACTTCAAAAACAAAAATGGAAGTCGTTTTTGCATCGAATTGTGATTAGCTATAAAAAATGGATTCGTTACAATTCTAAACGCAAGAAATCATGGGTACGTCTTGGCGAATCATTATCAACGCTGTAACAGCAGATTCATGGAAAGAAAATCAAACTGTACATTTGGTAGGATCAAGTCGATGTAATGTATTATGAGCTGCTGCAACCGAGTCAAACTATTAATGCTGAACGCTACCGACAGCAATTAATCAATTTGAATCGAGCACTCAAAGAAAAACGCCTGCAATACATCAAAAGACATGACAAAATTATTCTTCTCCATGACAATGCTAGACCACATGTTGCAAAACTAGTGAAGGAAATCTTGGAGATACTTGGATGGGATGTTTTATCCCACCCGCCTCATTCACCAGATGTTACTCCTTCAGATTATCATTTGTTTCGGTCGATGCAGTATGACCTTTCTAAACAGCACTTCAGATTTTTCGAAGATATAAAAAAATGGCTCGATGACTAGATCGCCTCAAAAGAACTTGAATTTTTCTATCGCGGAATTCATGTGTTACCCGAAAAATGGAAAAAGGTTGTAGCTTTCGAAAGACAATATTTTGAATAAAACATGATGTACCGTTCTTTTGAAATAAACATGAGTTATTGTTGCAAAAAACAGCGAGAATTAATTCAAGCACCTGATATATCTAGACTGCATGTTCTAGAAGAAGGGGTATAGCTCACGTAGAAAAAGATGCACTCTGTTTTTACTATACGTTCTCTCTTGCACACTCTTGATGGAAGGGGAATAGGGGAGACAGTTGCTAATCTGTACGACAGTACCGCTGTTTTTTTATTTTTTTTTTTCCGATATAGTCATCAACCTAGATCACCGTGTCTTCAGCTCACTCCGAGATATACAGTGTAGTTGTTGTACTGTTAACAGTACAACAACAGTAAAAGTTGTTGTACAGGTTAACTGCCTCCCCTATACTCCTTCCATTGAGAGTGTGCGAGAGATTACGCACAGTAAAAACAGAGTGCATCTTTTTCTACGTAAGCTCTACCTTTACTTCTCGAACAAGCAATCTAGATATACTATGTTTATGGTTTTAATCCACCCGCGATAAATTAACCCAGGTTCTTGGGTTGAACATATACGAGCAAGTTTTGTAATTGGCTAGTAGAGTCTTGTGACTCATTAATGTAACAAAAGAATGCGAATAAGACTCTCCAATAAAACTAAGCATGACGTCTGTATCTTCTGTACAATTTTGCGCGTTTGAATGTTCTAAAACTTTCATACTAAAAAATTTTTTGAATACACGAATAAATTGTATTGGTGTTGGATTTACAGAATTGCCACCTTTGTAATTATATTATAATATTATAATAGAATCAAAGAAATTTTCAACGCAATCCTGATTAATTTTTTGCATATAAAAACATGGGAAATTATAACATTTCAATCTTTCTCAAAGTTGCAATATACTAGTAATAGTAATTTGCCAGCATTCGAAGCATTTAACTTTTACATTTATGCCTTTGTTGTTAATTATTTTGACTGTTTTTAAAAATTTTACAACATTTTAACATTTTATGTAAGTATTCGATTTACTGTGAGCTTTCGGTGAATGCTTTTTCATATTCTTTGGGGTAGTTTAAAATAGGTTAATTTAATATATCAAATAATTTATCGAAGTGATCAATGAATTCTATAATTCCAATTACTTCACTTGGTAAAAAACCGAACGACATTGGCACGCACGTGTCTGCAGCAACACAATTACTTAAAATCTGGATAGCATATTTTTTGAAAATTCGTAAGTTCTATATGAATTTTTGTTAATTTTGGAGCTAATCTGATCCATTGTTTTACGTCTCTATTATAAAATATTCTCTATTATAAAATAGTCTCTATTATAAAATAAAAATCGACAATATGAGTTTACGAAGTAATTTTATCATCTCCGAAATGACAATTGTGTCTATATAAATTATCGCGAGTCCTTTTCATTAAATGGAGAGTATTAAAAATATAGATTTCGATTTTATCTACCATAAAAGTTGAATTTTGTGTTGAAATTCCTAGCTCGCGAGATAGCTGAATAAAATTTGAACCCATGTCTGACACCAAAACATGCACCGTAACGCTATAAACTTATACGTTACGTAATATATCAAATATAAGAATTTTAAGTGCATTTTCTTTACATAGTTTCAACTAAACAAAAGAAAAGAGAAAGCTTCCAATTATGTGCAATGCTACGTGCCATAACTACTAAAGCTTATTTTGCAAGATGATTTCTCACTGCCTATATCCTCGAAACCGACAATTTCATCTTATGAAATGTTATAAAATAATACACTTTCATGCTTATTTCATCTACACATAATATGCAATATCGTTCTAACGGCGGTAATGATTTTAACTTCATAGATAGTACATTAAAAATGTTACTGTTTATTCCAGATTTTATGTACTATGCTTCCGTTATCCATTGTAAAGTGCATACAGATGGTAATGCAAAATCTTTTTGGAGTTGTCTATAAGTTTGCGGACCTAAAAAAATATGCTCAAAGCAAACTATTTAAATTCAGAATCATATCTCTTTCCAAATTTATGTCTTGTAAATGCATTAATCTGTGCATTTAATAGTCATAAATAACTTGCAAATATTTTATTGCAAAATTTTCATAAAGTTTTACCATCACTGCTTTCTTGTCTTTCCGCTACTTTGCTTTTAATTTTTTCCATTCGCACCAAAAGCCGTCTATTTCTTGCACGTAGCTTCAAAATTTGTTTCCTGTATTTAACAAGCCGTTGCTGTAATTTTTTTATTTGGCGCATATTCTGTACTTGTACGGATTGCATCGTGTTTCTATACAAAAGAGATGCAGACATGAATGAATATTGAAAAGAAATAGCATATTATATTGGAAATAAAAATTGTATAATACTTATTGTCTAACTGAGACATCTGAATTGGTGTGGTGACAATGATATAATTGTAGTTCATTTTGTCACATCTGTTCAAGCGTTTCTGTCGGTCGACGAGAACTGATATGTTTCTAGGAAAAAAACATTAGAAATATTTAAAAGAATAATGGATAATTACTGCATAAGTATATATATGTGTGTATGTGTGTACAATTTTTATTATGCAATCATACAAATAATTCATTTTAACAATTATATATGTTGATCTATTATAAGCAGAAATTAGAAAAATTAAAACAGGATAACAATTTGTGAAATTACTTTAAATGTATGTTAATATATATATCAGAATCTATCTAAGAAACATTAATCATCTAAATTCCTATTTCCTTTACAAAATTAAAAAAATACAAATATAAACTTACGGCATAGAAACCTCAGTAATATTTTCCGTTTTCAGGTTTTCCTCTATTTTCTTTGTGTCTTCTTCCTTTTTCTCCACAGTTTCATCTACTGATACTATTTCAGTCTGTGAATTGCTATATTATTATTTTATTAACCTATTATTTTGTTTTACATCATCATATATATTATCTATGAATCCATAAATATGGAATGGAAACAAAGACAGCACAAACTTCCAAGAGACATATTGGCAACATCCTTAGAAAATCCCTTGGATATCTGTGATGTCAACAAAAGAAGAAACATTATAAAATGTTTGTAGAAACTAACTTTTTTCCATAAAATATTGTCGGTATGGCATCTGGATGAAGGTATGATCTCTTTTTGCCTATTTTGTACCATTTTTTTTCAAAATGTAAGTGGCACATTTTATATACCTTGTACGCATATTCCGCTCCCATTTTTTTTAAATCAAACCTCCCACATGCTTCGATCCATTTTAGCCATCTGTTATAGCAATTTTTTAATATAAAGAAATATAATATACATATATGTAAACTTATATAATACATATCCACACAACATAAATCTTCCAAGGGACATCCTTGGGATATCCTAAGGACATATGACTTTTATCAGGATATCTTTAGGATGTCCTTTGGATATTTGTGCTCTGTGAATATATATGTATATATATATATATATATATATATATATATATGAGAGTATGGATGTATGTAGAATATATTGTAATATAAATTTACATATATATTTCAGAAAATTTTAAGTATAAAAATATCGTACCTGTCATGTTCTTTTGGAAACCGAAAAAAATATTTTTTTTCTTGAATAGCAATTTTGTTGCATTCCTTTACTATACACCACGAATTACGGACCAACATACTCTCTTTTTTCATTTCCATAGTTTTTTTATAAAAGAAGATCTACAATAAAATTGTTTTATAAAGAAGAGTTACAGGACCTCTACACTAAGCCGTTAGTCAAAAGATGTAAACAAATTGACCAACCACAGTCCATAATTTTTCAGAATAATCGAGTGTGGTTGGTCAATTTGTTTACGTCTTGTGACTAATGGCTTATTGTAGGAAGCTTAAAATTATATATGACTTATGTAAACACAATATATCCTCTTTAAAGATAATCCTTCGCTTTTGGTAGTCAATATTTGTACTCTAGCACAGTTCATTAAACATTGAACTAAATAGAATATTTACTTATATCTGCTACGCAAAATTTGGAGAGTGACGCTACTATTGCTACGTTCCGATATTCATTACCAACATTGAAAATCCATACTATATATAACATAAACTATATATTTTCAATACTAGCAGAGAGAAGCCTGAGAGCGGGCATGGCTGCATTTACAGCGTTATGGAAAAGTTGGCTGATTCGAAGCGCCAACTGGGTCCATTTTTCATGGACATGAACTACTAATCCAATGTCCACGATTTGTCGGTACTATTCCGTGCTATGTCCATAATTATTTGGTTCTGTTCTGTGCTATGTTCACGAGCGAGCTAGATTAGTTAGATAAAAACGAAAAATCGGTCTTCGTCTCACCACCAGCGAATAGACAATCGCGACGAAGCGAGCCAGCAGCGATGTATCGTAAGTCAGACGTCGCCGTCCCCCCTTTCACCCCCTTGTTTTCCTTTCCACATTGTTTTATATTCATAATTCGGGAAGAAAATAATTTCGAGAGTTCGTACGATTTCTAGCAATGACGCGACAGAGATAACGCGCGGCCACATTAATTTGTCATGACTTTTATATTACTTATAATTACATAAACGCCCATATATGCAAATTATAGATAATTATTGCGCGTATGTTTTAATATTGTACAATATGGCATATAATAACAACAACTTCATTTTTTGCAGTAATATTTTTAAGATCTTCGTTGAGATCGTGAATTTGTTTTTTTCTTCATCAATCAGTTTTTTGCAAAAAGTAAGATTTTTTAAATAAAATATAAAATGTTTCTTTTTTCTTCTCTCCGAAGAGTTAATTAAAAATGTGTACTCCACAGAGTCAACTAAAAAATATATACTCAGGAGAGTCAATTTAAAAGTGTACTCCGAAAAGTAAATTTAATAGCGTATTCCGAAGAGTCAATTTGAAAGCGTACTCTGAAAAATCAAATTGATATTGTAATCCGAAAAGTCAATTTATAATAGAATATTTATTTCGATGATTCAGCTAAAGAAAAAATATTTATTATTATATCGAGAGAATAATATTTAATTTATTATTTATATTTATCTTACTTACGCTTACCTTCTTTGAATGAAAAATTTAATTTGTTGACTGATTCAGATTCAAATTTGTTAAAATATCTCTTATGCGCAACTCTTGAACAGGTAGGTAGTAAAATAACTTTTTTTCTTTACGAATTTTATAAACTTTTCACGAACATAAAAATTGAAAGATTCTCAGAGAACAAATAACTTTTCTTGAACATTTAAATCAAAGGAAAATCTTTTCCCATTAATAAAGAATGAATAATTAATATCTCACACGAGAGGAATCTTCATCCTTGAAATAACCGCGTGATTTTGCTTTTAGAAAAGTATAATATTGATGTAATAGTAACAAATGCTACCCAATAACGGTGCAAATCTTAAACGTTTTTGAGAAATGCAGTTTGAAGTTTAGTCTTTTCTGTTAATGTTTCTGTTATAGCAGAAGAATTACCAATTTGCTTCAGTAGCGCAGTGGATCAGACTTTATGATATGAGCGTAGAGGTTGTTCAAGTGTGTTATTTTTACTATCACAGGGAGAACTATGTAGAATGTATAATAATACGCAGACAAATTCTTTATATAATCATACTTATTTTTTTTTAGCATGAATAAAAATGATCAATGCTAACATGATAAGTGTATATCGCAATTGTACGTGTACACATACACACACACATACACACGTATACCAATGATGTCAAAACCGAACAATTCGTGAAAATTTTTTATTGAACGCAAAGACGAAAGAGAAGTACACGGGTCTCCGCGGGTATCTCGTCATATTAATTGTCTATGAGCTGATAAACAGTTGATCTCCGGTATTTACAAGTTACGCTTGTCCGCAGCTTGTTCGGTTTTGACATTATTGGTATCAGCGATGGGAATTTGGTGACGGGCTTGCACGAGGATTCTCCCTCTCCCCCCTTGCACGCACAAAGTCAGCTCGGTCAATCCGTGTGAGCCACGCGATCGGCAATCCATCGACGCGCCGAGCGAGCGAGAGAGAGAGAGAATATCATTCCCTCCTTGTCGCTCTCGTTCTCGCTCAGCGAGCGAGCTTAATTCTTTCTTGCCCATAATCTGAATCGCGGGCGCGACTATCTCTCTCTCTCCTTTCCTCTCTATGACAATACTGAAAAGTTTTGTCTACTCGGCACCGCATATTATTATAAATAATATTTTATTATTAATAATATTATTATTTGTAATATATATTATTTGTAATATTATTATTTGTAATTTTATTTAATTGTATAATAATGTTACAAATAATACAAATTTTTATAAATTTTATTTGTAAAAATTTATATCATTTGTAATATTATTTGTAATAGTATTGATAATATTCGGCGCCAAGAAAATGAAATATATTTTATTAATTATTTTGCGGAGTCGGGCAGGTTCACAGGTTTGATTATTGAATTGTTTAATAATATTTTAAGAATAATTTTAAGTTATACAAGGATGTAGTATGAAATATAAAAGAATATTGTAACAGAATCAAGAAGTACGAAATGAAACCTCTTTGCTTTTATTACAATATCCTGTAAGTTAATAAATATTTTTCATACAATATTAAATAATCTCCAAAAACAATTACATCCGTGAAATTTTCTATCTGCGCGAAAAAGATTCATAAAATATATTTGTTTCGTCGCTCTAAATGAAAAAGCTCTCAGAACAATGTCATAGTTGTTCAGTGCACTACTAAAAAAAAATATAATAATACTATGTTTGTATGTATGAAGAATATTTGTTACCTTACAGGATATTGTAATAAAAGCAAGGAGGTTTTATTTCGTACTTCTAAGGCCAAGACTTATCAACGGCTAAAGACATATTCGAATTGATCTTGCCTTAATTGGTCGGATCAGTGATCGGTCTTGCCTTAAGTTTCAAGCCTCATAACTCGGAAAGTACTCGATGAAATGTAACTTTGTTACAGTGTTTTGGAAAGCTCTCGAGATAAGCTACAAGAATATGTAATAAAAAATCGTAGTTTCTATTTAAAAAAACATTAATGACCTTGGCCTGATTTTGACAAGGTCACTTCACTCAAGGTCAAGTCCACATTTTCGTTATGTGTCGTCCTTCAAGCCATGCAACTTTCGTTCGAAAAATTTTTTAATAAAATCATCGATAATGGACCATATCACTTTAGTTAGAAAAGTCTAAAAACGGTCAAATACCTCGAAAACGAAACGTTTTTAAGAAAAATATTTCCAACTAAAGTTGTAAGCTTTTAAAAGTTCTATTGTATGATCATATCCGGTTGACCTTGAGTGGAGGAGTCAAGGCGAGGTCAATGCCAACATGATTTTTTTAAATGGAATATCCCATTTTTTATCACAACAGTGTTAAAGATGACAGCGAGACGTTTCCGAAATACTACTTGATGACCTATTTTTGTTGGGAATTGTCTGAGTTATGAGCTTTAGAATTTACGGTGCCGCATTAGTATGATTCAGGATGTACCGCGTGGAGGTTGCATGGTCGGACTTTACACCCCTCTGCGTGTGTGTGTGTGTGTGTGTGTGTGTGTGTGTGTGTGTGTCAGCAGAGATAAGGACTATGCAGTAGTAGTGCGTCAATTTTTAACTGATACTTTCCCAAACCGATGGATAACAAGATGTGGAGAAATAGAGTGGCCCTCTAAATCACCAGATCTTCCTCCATTGGACTACTTCTTATGGGAATATGTTAAAAACAATGTGTACGGAACGAAACCTGCTAACTTGGCAGACCTTAGGGAACGCATACTGCGCCAAGTAAATCTTATTTCGCCAGAAATGAGACGAAACGTTTTAAATGAATTTCATCTACGATAAGGTTATTGTCAAGCAGCAGACGGAAGACAATTTGAACACTTAATTCAATAAAAGCCCGTCTACACACACACGCGCACGCGCGCGCGCGTTTAAAGGTATATATGTGTACATAACAGGTTTTTACAAGTAAAACTTAAAGATAATACATAAGATTTTACAAGTAAAACTTATATAAAACTTACTTTTTTAAACAAAAAGGTAAAAAAAAGGCGCCAAGTATTAAACAAGCGTAAAACGTATTGTGTTATTTTTATTTGTGTTATTTTTAGAAGTATCAAGCTCAAATTATTTTTTTTAATATATATATGTGTACATAAGTTTTTACAAGTAAAACTTATAACTATAATAAAACTCTGCAACACTATTCTACTATACAAAAGAAGTGATTAGAACAGTAGCGCCAACTAACAAACCTAACATATATATATGATTATTGTATACTTAACTTAATATTTTTAGAAATCTTAAATTCAAATTATTTTCTTTTTTAGTTAGTTCGATATAGTTTATTAAAGTCAAATTAGATATCATTGACATTTCGTCAATTATAATAAGAATAACATCTTTGAATAAAAAAATATCAAAATATGTAGAATATATAAACATTCGATATATATATTCTATAGTGAAGGTTTATAATTTATTATAATACTATATAAACTTAAATAAAACATTACACCGTATATGTATAGAGTGAATTAACAAGTACATTTTATTATAATAAAAATGCTGTCATATATGTATTAAACAAGTTTTAGTTCGATAGTTTTTGGTGTAGCCGCGCCAAGATTTTTTGTATTAAATATTTTTTATTGCATTGTTATAATAATTAATATGTTACAATAACAAGTAAAATAACCATATAACCCAGTGTTCTAATAAAGAATGATAAATTTTACTTGTAAGTTAGGTTTTCTTGAATATTATGAATAACATAACCTTTAAAAAGATATTTTTTTGAATATTGGACACTATTAACAAACGTGTAAAATTTTTAAAATTTTAAAATTTAAAATTTAAAAAAAAATTTAAAAATTTAAAATTTTTAAATTTTAAAAATTTAAAATTTAAAATTTTTTTAAAAAAGAAGATAATTTGAATTTGAGATTTCTAAAAATATTAAGTTAAGTATACAATAATCATATATATATGTTAGGTTTGTTAGTTGGCGCTACTGTTCTAATCACTTCTTTTGTATAGTAGAATAGTGTTGCAGAGTTTTATTATAGTTATAAGTTTTACTTGTAAAAACTTATGTACACATATATATATTAAAAAAAATAATTTGAGCTTGATACTTCTAAAAATAACACAAATAAAAATAACACAATACGTTTTACGCTTGTTTAATACTTGGCGCCTTTTTTTTACCTTTTTGTTTAAAAAAGTAAGTTTTATATAAGTTTTACTTGTAAAATCTTATGTATTATCTTTAAGTTTTACTTGTAAAAACCTGTTATGTACACATATATACCTTTAAACGCGCGCGCGCGTGCGCGTGTGTGTGTAGACGGGCTTTTATTGAATTAAGTGTTCAAATTGTCTTCCGTCTGCTGCTTGACAATAACCTTATCGTAGATGAAATTCATTTAAAACGTTTCGTCTCATTTCTGGCGAAATAAGATTTACTTGGCGCAGTATGCGTTCCCTAAGGTCTGCCAAGTTAGCAGGTTTCGTTCCGTACACATTGTTTTTAACATATTCCCATAAGAAGTAGTCCAATGGAGGAAGATCTGGTGATTTAGAGGGCCACTCTATTTCTCCACATCTTGTTATCCATCGGTTTGGGAAAGTATCAGTTAAAAATTGACGCACTACTACTGCATAGTCCTTATCTCTGCTGACACACACACACACACACACACACACACACACACACACACACACGCAGAGGGGTGTAAAGTCCGACCATGCAACCTCCACGCGGTACATCCTGAATCATACTAATGCGGCACCGTAAATTCTAAAGCTCATAACTCAGACAATTCCCAACAAAAATAGGTCATCAAGTAGTATTTCGGAAACGTCTCGCTGTCATCTTTAACACTGTTGTGATAAAAAATGGGATATTCCATTTAAAAAAATCATGTTGGCATTGACCTCGCCTTGACTCCTCCACTCAAGGTCAACCGGATATGATCATACAATAGAACTTTTAAAAGCTTACAACTTTAGTTGGAAATATTTTTCTTAAAAACGTTTCGTTTTCGAGGTATTTGACCGTTTTTAGACTTTTCTAACTAAAGTGATATGGTCCATTATCGATGATTTTATTAAAAAATTTTTCGAACGAAAGTTGCATGGCTTGAAGGACGACACATAACGAAAATGTGGACTTGACCTTGAGTGAAGTGACCTTGTCAAAATCAGGCCAAGGTCATTAATGTTTTTTTAAATAGAAACTACGATTTTTTATTACATATTCTTGTAGCTTATCTCGAGAGCTTTCCAAAACACTGTAACAAAGTTACATTTCATCGAGTACTTTCCGAGTTATGAGGCTTGAAACTTAAGGCAAGACCGATCACTGATCCGACCAATTAAGGCAAGATCAATTCGAATATGTCTTTAGCCGTTGATAAGTCTTGGCCTTAGAAGTACGAAATAAAACCTCCTTGCTTTTATTACAATATCCTGTAAGGTAACAAATATTCTTCATACATACAAACATAGTATTATTATATTTTTTTTTAGTAGTGCACTGAACAACTATGACATTGTTCTGAGAGCTTTTTCATTTAGAGCGACGAAACAAATATATTTTATGAATCTTTTTCGCGCAGATAGAAAATTTCACGGATGTAATTGTTTTTGGAGATTATTTAATATTGTATGAAAAATATTTATTAACTTACAGGATATTGTAATAAAAGCAAAGAGGTTTCATTTCGTACTTCTTGATTCTGTTACAATATTCTTTTATATTTCATACTACATCCTTGTATAACTTAAAATTATTCTTAAAATATTATTAAACAATTCAATAATCAAACCTGTGAACCTGCCCGACTCCGCAAAATAATTAATAAAATATATTTCATTTTCTTGGCGCCGAATATTATCAATACTATTACAAATAATATTACAAATGATATAAATTTTTACAAATAAAATTTATAAAAATTTGTATTATTTGTAACATTATTATACAATTAAATAAAATTACAAATAATAATATTACAAATAATATATATTACAAATAATAATATTATTAATAATAAAATATTATTTATAATAATATGCGGTGCCGAGTAGACAAAACTTTTCAGTATTGTCATAGAGAGGAAAGGAGAGAGAGAGATAGTCGCGCCCGCGATTCAGATTATGGGCAAGAAAGAATTAAGCTCGCTCGCTGAGCGAGAACGAGAGCGACAAGGAGGGAATGATATTCTCTCTCTCTCTCGCTCGCTCGGCGCGTCGATGGATTGCCGATCGCGTGGCTCACACGGATTGACCGAGCTGACTTTGTGCGTGCAAGGGGGGAGAGGGAGAATCCTCGTGCAAGCCCGTCACCAAATTCCCATCGCTGATACCAATAATGTCAAAACCGAACAAGCTGCGGACAAGCGTAACTTGTAAATACCGGAGATCAACTGTTTATCAGCTCATAGACAATTAATATGACGAGATACCCGCGGAGACCCGTGTACTTCTCTTTCGTCTTTGCGTTCAATAAAAAATTTTCACGAATTGTTCGGTTTTGACATCATTGGTATACGTGTGTATGTGTGTGTGTATGTGTACACGTACAATTGCGATATACACTTATCATGTTAGCATTGATCATTTTTATTCATGCTAAAAAAAAATAAGTATGATTATATAAAGAATTTGTCTGCGTATTATTATACATTCTACATAGTTCTCCCTGTGATAGTAAAAATAACACACTTGAACAACCTCTACGCTCATATCATAAAGTCTGATCCACTGCGCTACTGAAGCAAATTGGTAATTCTTCTGCTATAACAGAAACATTAACAGAAAAGACTAAACTTCAAACTGCATTTCTCAAAAACGTTTAAGATTTGCACCGTTATTGGGTAGCATTTGTTACTATTACATCAATATTATACTTTTCTAAAAGCAAAATCACGCGGTTATTTCAAGGATGAAGATTCCTCTCGTGTGAGATATTAATTATTCATTCTTTATTAATGGGAAAAGATTTTCCTTTGATTTAAATGTTCAAGAAAAGTTATTTGTTCTCTGAGAATCTTTCAATTTTTATGTTCGTGAAAAGTTTATAAAATTCGTAAAGAAAAAAAGTTATTTTACTACCTACCTGTTCAAGAGTTGCGCATAAGAGATATTTTAACAAATTTGAATCTGAATCAGTCAACAAATTAAATTTTTCATTCAAAGAAGGTAAGCGTAAGTAAGATAAATATAAATAATAAATTAAATATTATTCTCTCGATATAATAATAAATATTTTTTCTTTAGCTGAATCATCGAAATAAATATTCTATTATAAATTGACTTTTCGGATTACAATATCAATTTGATTTTTCAGAGTACGCTTTCAAATTGACTCTTCGGAATACGCTATTAAATTTACTTTTCGGAGTACACTTTTAAATTGACTCTCCTGAGTATATATTTTTTAGTTGACTCTGTGGAGTACACATTTTTAATTAACTCTTCGGAGAGAAGAAAAAAGAAACATTTTATATTTTATTTAAAAAATCTTACTTTTTGCAAAAAACTGATTGATGAAGAAAAAAACAAATTCACGATCTCAACGAAGATCTTAAAAATATTACTGCAAAAAATGAAGTTGTTGTTATTATATGCCATATTGTACAATATTAAAACATACGCGCAATAATTATCTATAATTTGCATATATGGGCGTTTATGTAATTATAAGTAATATAAAAGTCATGACAAATTAATGTGGCCGCGCGTTATCTCTGTCGCGTCATTGCTAGAAATCGTACGAACTCTCGAAATTATTTTCTTCCCGAATTATGAATATAAAACAATGTGGAAAGGAAAACAAGGGGGTGAAAGGGGGGACGGCGACGTCTGACTTACGATACATCGCTGCTGGCTCGCTTCGTCGCGATTGTCTATTCGCTGGTGGTGAGACGAAGACCGATTTTTCGTTTTTATCTAACTAATCTAGCTCGCTCGTGAACATAGCACAGAACAGAACCAAATAATTATGGACATAGCACGGAATAGTACCGACAAATCGTGGACATTGGATTAGTAGTTCATGTCCATGAAAAATGGACCCAGTTGGCGCTTCGAATCAGCCAACTTTTCCATAACGCTGTAAATGCAGCCATGCCCGCTCTCAGGCTTCTCTCTGGTTTGAGCATTCAGTAACCACCAGGTGCGATTCTGTAACTCGTTATTGGAGTTAACGACAGTTTCGTTATTGTTGCGCAGCTTTTCTACGGTGCCGTTAAACTCCCGTGTATATTTAGCGTCCAACGTTTGTGGCGCTCTCTAAAATAGGACATTTCTTCGGTGGTACTAAAATTCAATATGGCGTCATGTGTCAATGTGTGTATGTATAGCTGTCTATGCACACATATTAACACGTATGTACGTGTAGTATATATAGGAAATACGAGAATATTAGTGCGAAGTAAAAATGCAGAAAATAATGTGTAGATATCTCGATTTTTGGATGATTATTACACAATAACTATGTGGACACGCTTTAAAAAAAAAATATGTGTTTCTTAAAGGGTTTAACTTGTTTTGTCTAGAATATGAGATATTTATCATGACTCCTTGTGATGCAGTGGCCATTGAAAGTATTTTTTTTCCTCATACGTCAGAATAAAAAATGTTTAAAAATAGTAAAAATAGGCAATTTAAAGAATGTTTAGCCTCTATTTAAGTTATATTACTATAAAAATTAATTTTCTGCAAACTAATGCCATCAGTTTGTGAAAAAAGTCGTTTAATTTGCAAAGAAGCATGCATAAATGAATTGAAATTTTAGACAAAAATGGCGAAGTTTGATTGCATATTTCTCGTAAACTAGATAGTCAATTTAGCCAAGATTTCGCAAAGTAACTTGTTAATATAAACATTAATTTTGTACAAAATTTCAGCGTTGTAGCATGACTTTTATTTTGAGGAACAACTACCTTAAAGCATTAAAGCGAACGCAACTGTAGCAATATGTGGTGCCACAAATTAGTTCCGATTTCTCACATGTCCCATCTCAGAGAGCGCTGTTAACGTTAATCATTTTCGCTCCATAAGAGTTTGCACGCCCTGGTAACCACTCATAACAGAACAGAACACAATTATGACATAGTTGTTCTCTGCGTCTTTTCTGTGTATATGAAATTCTGTGTACGTTGAAATTTAGTACCATATATATATTGGAAGCTGTAATATATACTAATTTGAAGATATGGAGGAAATATATTTTTCAACTGAAAAGGAATCGAACATTAATGGATAATGGCATTTCAAAAAGTCGTTCAGGCGTCCTCGAGTAACTTATAACAATAATATATTTTTAATAAATGATTATGTTTTTAATATCAAAATGTGCGTATAATATGTTTTATGTAGAATTGGTAAAAAACGATATAAAAACGTTATGGTAATTGCAACAGCCGTTATCGAATTTGTTGTAAATAATAGTCAAAAATAAAATAATGATTGATATACATACATATAATGTTATATAACTTAAGTTAGGATTAGACTATCCCTTCCATACATTTATTTGTTTGCATATTGCAATTATAGAGAGAGGGCAAAATATCTGTGGCAACATTTTTCTATCACTTTAAATTAATTTACTTTAATTCTAGCAACATCTGTAATAAAATTGTAATATTTATTATTTAGTTCAGTTCTTAATATTTATTATTAATTTCAATTTATTTATTAATATACTTTCTGATTTATTGTAGCACTAGTATCTTATATGACAGAGACAGTTTAAAATTTAATAATATATTGCATAAAATATACAGCAGACAAGCTCAATAGCATAGAAAAGTTGCGTAAGAAAAGCCAAATATTATTGGCAAAAGCTAGTAAAAATTCCAAGAGAGTTGACACTGAAATAAAGGAGTTGCAGAAAGAAAGAAGTTCGCAGATATTGTAAGTATCTCTTATTTATATTTAAAATTGAATTATCTCCTCTTCCAATTAGTCATGTAATTTGCAATTTTATATTTTTTAATTAATTTTCTTCTATCTTTACAGATCTGCAATAAATTACCACAATCACAAGTCTCAACACAATCATTTACAAAGAAACATTGAATCATGGAAGTTACGTAATGATTCGAGTGCAGTTAGCACTATCCTATGCCCAGATTATTATTGTTCTAGTTTGAGACACGCATCTGCTTCAGCACCGAGCATGACATCTTGCGTAAAGCTAACACTGACATCTAAAAAACCACGAGAACAATATACAAGGTTTGCTCCCAGGAAGCCAGTGAAGGAATGTTACTGTTACTTGGAGGTAAACAAAGCAAATTTAAGATCATCGAGAACTCGACGGAGAACCGCATCACCTTCTCGTCAGTGCACAAGTAATTTCGAGCTAAGACCGGTTAAGGAAACCAACGACAGAGCAGTTTTGACTTCACCGATTAGCTGTGAGACATACAGGAGAGTTCGGAAAATCGACTACACGCCTAGATCCCAGTTCCTCCGTAATGTGCAGAACAGAATCTGTGAGTGGCAAAGCGGAGGCCAGGGCGATTGCTCGCAAACGTGTCCTAGGTCGTTGAGTTACCATAGAATCATGGCAAGCGCGAGGATACAGGATATTGACTCTGATCGAGAAATACAACCGAATGCAGTTAAATGCGTCGAGGGACGGAAGTCTTCTGCGACCCCGAAGACGCCCGCCAACTCGATAGCCAGCGAGTCCGATCGCAATATCGTCTGCACTTCGAACAAGGAAACCCGAACATCTTTGCGCAAACGGTCTAAATCAATGTTGAGGAAGATGATATCTAAAAGACCAACGTCGAGATCGCCGACTCAAGGTGAACGAATGTCGCGATCGCACGATCATAATTATCGCTGTTGTTGCAGAGATGAACCGAAAAGTTTTGGAGACGGACGCGAAAAGAAACATTCATCAGAGTATCACGAGCAAAGAATTCGACGCATGCATACGAAATGCGATGACGATCCTGTAGACAGTGACGCATTGGCTGATCCCATCGACCAAGAAATGAAGGACTTGAAAAGATTCCGAGCGCAGAACTATTTTGAAACACATGGGTCGAGCCATACATTGGCGTCGTCCAGATCGTCAGGATCGTTGGAGCAATATCTGCTGAACGAGCGACTATTTCCGGAGCCTGTAAGCAAAATCCACAGACAGGATCTAGTAGTAACGATGCCACCATGCACGACGACGGAAAGAAAACGCATCCATTACTTCCCTAAGCACGTAGTATATCAAGAGAAGAATGTGTACAATACAAATTACAGACGGAAACGACACCAGAGCTGTCCTCTAACCGGTCATGCCATCGATCTCGGAATTCTGAAAGCCAGACCGCCGTTGAATAGCTTAGCGCTCAAGTATCAGAAAAGAGCTACTTGACAAGGCGGTGATGGAGTACCCTGACGAAATCCGATCTTTCCTGTCTTGTTTTGTGTCAATATGTAGAATAATTTATCTTTTTTATCTCGACATTTTAAGAAAATAAATCTAAACAGTCGTCATTCGTAACAAGTTTTTGTACACTTTTGTAAATAACGATTTGCATAAAAATAAATTCATTCGTTTCGCATTAGCACAATGTTCCTAAGCAGGATGCAATCTAAAAGTTCACTCATGTTTATGTGATTAAATAAAATTAAAAATTCTATTTTTTACCTAAAAGAACGTATGTGGTACTTTTGTCGCTCTATTCAAAATAAGAAACACCAAACGATGATATGAATGAAATAAATAAAGAAGTCAAACATAAATAGTATGATTATACATACAGGGTCATCGAAAAGCATCGGACCCCCCTAATATCTTCAGTTAGAATGTATTTTGGAGAAAATGTCCAATAGCAAAGTTGTATGGTTTCAAACGGGGAGTAAGATGATGACCTTGACTTTGACCTTGACCATGTCCTTCAATGACATTTCAAGATCAACTTTATTTTTTTAAACCGAATCCCCAACATTTTATTGCATATTCTTATAGCTTATCTCGAGAACTTTTTAAAACACTATAATCAAACATTTTTTCATTAAGTACTTTTTGAGTTATGAAGGTTTGAAGTTAACAATTTGTTAAGTGGTGTGTGATTCCGACCAGTTAAGGCGAATTTCATTCCAATTAGTCAGCTTGGGCAAAATATTCAATTGTACCAAATAATTCACAACAAATGTTCAAATTGTTGCCCTTTAACAGCCTGACAATGTGCCAATCTGTTATAAACAGCTGAAACCACATTGCGGTACGTTTTCGGCGGTATTCTATCTCTCGAGTTATTCTTCCTCTTAAATCATCTAAATCTTGAGGCTTGGTGGCATAAACTTTACTTTTCAAGTAACCCCACAAATAAAGTCAAGTGGGGTCAAGTCCGGAGATCAAGGTGGCCACTCAATATGACCCCATCGCCCAATCCACCTGTCCTGAAAGACCTCATTCAAATATTGACGGACAATGACACCATAATGAGGTGGAGCTCCATCCTGTTGGAAATAAATTTCATCCATATTTCCACCAGCTATGTCTCGAATAGCTGGAACAATTTGTCCGCGAAGCATGACTGTGTATATATGTGCTGTCAAATTGCCTTCAATGAAGAAACGGCCAACTGGTCTACCATTAAGAATACTAACCCATACGATAACTTTTTGTGGATATTGGGTATGATTGTCTCTTTTCTAGTGAGGATTAACGTCACTCCAGTATCTACAATTGTGTCTATTTACATTTCCAATCAGTTCAAATGTTGCTTCATCAGAGAGAACAATATTATTAAGTAATAGAGGATCGTCGACAATCATCTCCATCATAAGATCACAAAATTCGATACGTCTATCAAAATCGTCTTCGGATAATTCTTGGACCAAATGGAGTTTGTATGGATGCCATTTATTTAATTTCAGAATTTTACTGACAGATGCATGACCGATTTCGTGTTCTTGTGCAACGCGATTGATGGAAATGTGGGGACTTTCAACGAAAGACTGTAAAACATCTAACGCCTTATCGTTATTTCTTGCTGTTTTACGTCTACCAGATCTTGGGCAGTTTTTAATGCTACCAATGTCCTCAAAACGTTGAATAGTACGGATTACAGTACTTTTGGAGATCCTATTATTTTCATTCCGAAAATGTTCATTAAATAATCGCGTTACTGTTGTATATCCTCTTTGTTGATCTCCCCATCCTCGCATCATTAACAGTGTTATTCGATCTCTTTCAGAAAGCTGCGCCATTTTTAATTAGAGCAAAGAAGAATTAATCAGGTAAGTGATGGGAAATTGATCTATATAATTAAGTAGAGAAAAATACTAATTATTAAGTATTGGTCCAACTTTCGATTTGTTTATTTCAATCACCACTAGCAAAAAGCTCGTTGAGCAACTAAAAATCTAATAGATCAATTAATAATATTTACGAAAAATTTCTAGGCTATTGGAAACAAAATGAAGATGTTTGGGACAATCAATTGAAGCGCAATGGCTTCTTTTGTTACAGAAACAATTTTTGGGGCTATTCGTTTTCGTCCACGAGGTAACTGCTGCTCGCTAAGAAGAAGACAGCACTGCATCAAAGATCCAAATCAGTGATCCGCATTGTTTGCTCAAGAGCTTGTATTACTATTGGTGACTGCGAGAGTGAGACAATAAAGATCGGCCCCGCCAACGCTTTCGGGCAGATTCCCATTAACGCCTTCGGACATCACGCATTCGAGTAGCTTCTCGCGATCACCTTCGGGTAGTTTTCCGCCATAGCTTACTAGCATAACCGCTTGAAGCTGGATAACTTTGCTATTGGACATTTTACCAAAATGCATTCTTACTGAAAATATTAGGGGGAGCCGATACTTTTCGATTCATGTATTTTCTTTAAACCAATTAATTGGCCTCATTATTTCGCGCACAAAAGTATTAAGGTTATGATTACTGAAAACTAAATAATATTTTACAAGATATTTTACATTTTATGTCAAAAAATTGTTAAATTCAAACCTTTATAACTCAAAAAGTACTTAATGAAAAAATGTTTTATTATAGTGTTTTGGAAAGCTCGCGAGATAAGCTATAAGAATATGTAATAAAATATTGGGGTTTCCATTAAAAAAAATAAGGTTGACCTTGAAATGACCTTGAAGGACATGGTCAAGATCAAAGTCAAGGTCATCATTTTACTGCCCGCTTGAAACTATACAACTTTGCTATTGGACATTTTCTCTAAAATGCATTCTAACTGAAGATATTAGGGGTGTCCGATATTTTTCGATGACTGTATAATCATATTATTTCTTGAATTAGTATATTTATTACATAAATGTAAAGGAATATGTAAAAAATAATGATGATTTGTAGACAGAAGTGTGCCTAAAATTTTAAGCGCGTTTTTCTTGAAACTGCCTTTCCAAAAAATCGGCGTGCGATATTTCTTAAAGATTATTGAACTGATTGACTTCAAAATTTCCATATCTTGAATACATGATTATCGAGGATGTATATTCTAAAAAAGAAAGAGGAAGAGAAAGATTTTTCTTGAAACTTCAAAATTTAATATTTTTTCATTACATGAAAAGTTGTTTCTTTCAGTGAATAAAACACAGATTTTACTTTGTATCAACTTTCTGTTAATTTCTAGTTTTACGTAAAATCTAAGGCAGATATGATATTTCCGAGTTACCATTATTCTTTAATATATTTTGTTTTTATATGATAAGTGTCCTAAGTTGCGAGTGATGTAAAATTATTATTTTTGGGAGTGCCCAGGAGTGAATGGCCTCTTTAGCGTCCTTCGAATTTTATATTAGGGATATGCAAAAGTTTCCATTGTTCACATATAAATGACGTGAATTATTTACATAAATGTTGCGACGCATTTTTGTTAGATTATGTCAATATGAATCAACCTGCATAAAAACTGATGCATAATACGACATATTTGTTGACATAAATATGTTTAATTTGTATAAAGATGGAAGTCGATAAGACGTCATTGTATGCTTTTTTTATTTCATCAGCGCAAAACAGCTGCCGAAGCAACCAGAATCATTTACGAAATTTATGGTGAGGAAACGATAGCTGAAAGTTTATGTCGTGAATGGTTTCTGCGCTTTAAAAGTGGCTTGTGATTTGAAAGACAAGGAGCGTGCTGGGCGACCGCAAGAGATGAGTTCGAATGACTTGGAAACGTTATTGCAAGAAGATTCAACTCAATCGAGTACAGAACTTGTGAAAAAGTTACATATTCAGAGCACTGTAATTCGATGCTTATATGAAATGGGGAAAATTTTGAAGGAAAGAAAATGGATCTCGCATAAATTATTCGAAAATGCTATTGCCAGCCGAGTCACCATTTGCCTTCCCCTATTCAATAGAAATAAATACAAGTCCTTTTGTATCGAATTGTGACCAAAGATAAAAATGGATTTATTATGATAATTCCAATTGCGAAAGATCGTGAGTGTTCCGTACGGCACGTGATGCCGTACGGAAAGTCGGTGCGAGTCAACGCTGCAGGGCGGGCGGCCTGATGCCCGGGGCGTTCTCGCTGGCGGCGGGGGACTCGGGCTCTCGCGAGCGAGCGCGCGGGACCCCCACTAGGTCCAACCGCGGCCGCTACACGGCGCGGCTCGCGCGATTCCGCTGCCCGCGGGCAAGATTCGACCGCCCGGATATATAACCAGGCGCGCGATGCCTGGTCCTGGCCTTGTCTTGTCTTCTGCCTGGCCAGTTTAGGTAGCAAGTAGTGCTACACGTTAGTGCATCGTGTTACTGGTGATTACCGACGCGCTTTCTAGGCTTCCTAGGGCGATCGGGTATTTCGTTTCAGATTCGAACCACTGCTCTATAGACTCTGCTGAGTTGAAGGTGGCGCCGACACACCCTGCTGGGTTGAGGCAAATGGTTCGAATCTCGTTTTGTGATCTCGGGCTCACGGCGTTGCCGTGATCTTAGGAGCGACTCGACCGTCTCCTCGGAGCTTCGAGCTCCCTTATTGCCCAAGGGTCCGTAGGGGGCCTTGGCGGTTTTGGAGCGGCTCGGTCGCAGTCCTAGAGCGTTCGCGCTCCTTCGTCCAAGTGTCCATTGGGAACTTGGCTTTCTCGCAGGAGCGACTTCGTCGTCCTGCGAGCCGGAGCTCTCGGAGCTCCGTTTCCACGCGCCCTCGGGACCGTGGCTGGCTATTGGCCATTACGCCCGGAAGGGCAGGCCATCCGAAACGACGGAGGTCGTTTCGTAGCACGTCCTTGGCGTGCTTCGGGTGCCGCGCACCGTTGACGTCACGGACGTGTGTCCTGCGGGACTTGCGTAGGCGACGTTGTTTCGCTTGTATATAGCTACGTTTAGGTTCTTCTGCGTCGTTCTTCTGCGTTATTCTCTTCTGCGTTACTACTGCGTCTATTGCGTCCATTGCGTTTACACTGCGTGTCACTTTACGTCGGCACGTGCGCGTGCTTCTTCTCTCATGTTCTCGCCGCCGTCCCTGGGCATGGCCCAGTCGGCGCGCGACGTTGCCTGATCAGCAGGGTCTGTGGTCGCCTTGCGAGGCCCCGGCCTTTGATCAGGACGACCGGACGGTCACCGAGCGGACTCGAGCGAGCCTAGACGCAGGCGGACGTCGCTCTGCGATCCGTACTTCCAGCCAGCTCTCCGGAGCTATCATATGTTCGGGCTAGTTCCGAACATAATTTTGGTCCTTCGAGCCGGATACGAACCAGCGACCTATGGACATTTGGAACGGCGACTGCTTCGGCGGCCTTCCTTGGGCGGGGCCTATCGCGACTTTCTTGATGACTATGAACGACAGGGGCATATGATCCGCCTGCCGCTCAATGTCGAGACTCCGCGGCTCTCTTACTTTATTCCACATCACCCGGTGATTAAACAAGCCCCCGATCTTAAGGTAAGAGTGGTGTTCAACGCCTCGCAGGCGTCCACCAATGGCCGGTCGTTGAACGACTTGGTGCACGTGGGGCCGCGCTTACAGCGAGAACTGGGCGAGATTCTACTTGCCTGGCGCATGCATCGAGTGGCCTTCTCTGCAGACATCGAGCAAATGTTTCGTCAAGTGCGGGTGGCTCCGGAGGATCAACACCTCCAACAGATTCTCTGGCGAGACAGCCAGACGCAGGCAGTATCGGTGTACCGGTTGACCACGGTCACCTATGGCATGGCGTGCGCTCCTTATCTGGCCATCCGCACGCTGCACCAGCTGGCGCTGGATGAGCGGGAACGTTATCCCCGGGCAGCAGACTTACTTTGTCGACAAACCTACGTCGACGATATTCTTGCGGGGGCAGATGACCTTGGGGAGGCACGCCATCGACAGCGTGAGCTGAGCAGCTTGCTCATGGCGGGCGGGTTCCGACTCAGGAAGTGGGCGGCCTCACATCCGGAACTCTTGTCCGGTATCCCGGAGGGGGACCGCGAGCCTTTGGTGCCTCTGCCGGACCCTGGGGCCGTGGGTGCATCTGTGCTGGGGGTCGGTTGGATTCCGGTCGAGGATGCATTCTGCTTTTCGGTCAACCCCGGGGCTCAATCAGCCATCTCGAAGCGTGGCATCTTGTCAGTCGTTGCGCGATTATACGACCCCCTGGGCTGGTTGGGGCCTATGGTAGTACTGGCGAAGATCCTCCTTCAGGACTTGTGGTTGGCCGGGCTCGGTTGGGACGAGGCTCTCCCTTCTCCGCTCTCGCGACGTTGGGACGCCTTTAGCACCGGGCTCGCGGAGGTTTCCGCGATCCGAGTTCCTCGCTGGACCGGATGGTCGCCTGAAGTGGAGATCCAGCTTCACGGCTTCTCGGACGCCTCGGAGCGGGCGTACGCCGCCGTCATCTACTTACGGGCTCGACGGTCTGATGGGACCACCCGTATCGCTCTATTGGCGTCCAAGACCAGGGTCGCCCCACTAAAGCGGGTAACGTTGCCCCGCCTGGAGCTGTGCGGTGCGCAGCTGCTCTCGCGCCTCATGAAGGCCATTGTGGAGGCGCTCGGTTGTGCCGAGGCCTCCCTGGTTTGTTGGACCGACTCTTCTGTCACGCTCCATTGGATAACAGGGCATCCATCTCGATGGACCACCTTTGTCGCCAATCGCGTCTCGTACATTCACGAGAGCCTTCCGCGGGCCTCGTGGCGGCATGTCCCGTCCGGCGACAATCCCGCGGATTGCGCCTCCCGGGGTTTGTTGGCCGGCGGGCTACGAGAACACGCCCTTTGGTGGCGTGGCCCCTCCTGGCTTGTCGAGGACCCGGCGGGCTGGCCGGGTCTAACTTGCGTCGCGGTCGACCGAAGCACTTGCGAGGAACGGCGCATGGTTCACGTAGTGGCCGTGAACCCGGAGGACTGGTCCGGTGTCCTCTGAGCATGCTCCTTCCGCAAGGCCATCCGCGTGATGGCTTATGTACGACGATTCCTGCGAGTCCCACGGATCAGTGGACCCTTAACGGCGGACGAGCTGAGTGAAGCTCGACTGCGCCTGCTGCGGGTTACGCAGCACCGCTTCTTCGCGGAGGAATTGGGCCGTCTGAAGCGGGGGGGAGCATTGATGGTGAGATCGGCGTTGCGGCCACTCAACCCCATGATGGACGAGCGGGACCTCTTGCGGGTGGGGGGCCGCCTGCAATTCTCAGCGTTACCGATCGATGCACGGCAGCCAGTCCTGCTACCGCGACGCTCTCGGCTCGCGACTCTCGTTGTGCGAGATGCGCACGAACGCACGCTGCACGGGGGAGTGCAGCTTACGTTGCTCACCGTGAGGCGCGAATTCTGGATTCCAGCTGGGCGCTCTTTCGTGTGCCAGGTGATCCGGGGCTGTGTGCGCTGCACACGTCATAAGGGCACCCCGATCACCCCGTTCATGGCTCCGCTGCCTCGCGATCGGGTGTTGCCTCATCCACCGTTTTCTGCCACCGGGGTGGATTATGCTGGACCGGTCGCGGTGCGTCCGTCTCGAGGACGCGGACGTACCACCTCCAAGGGATATATTGCTGTCTTCGTCTGCTTCAGCACGCGCACTGTCCACTTGGAGGTGGTCAGTGACTATTCGGCCCCGACCTTCTTAGCGGCTTTTCATCGTTTCGCGGCCCGGCGGGGCCTGCCGGTTACCGTGTACAGCGATAGGGGGACCACATTCGTGGGTGCGGACCGCGAGCTGCGAGGACAATTTGAGGCGGTCATGGCGTTGGGGGGACCGGTCGCGGCCTCCTTGAGTAACCAGGGCACCACCTGGAAGTTCATGCCTCCTTCAGCTCCGCATTTCGGCGGACTGTGGGAGGCAGGAGTGCGGTCCGTCAAACACCACTTGCGACGGGTAATAGGAGAGCAGGCACTGACCTTTGAGGAGTTCGCCACTCTTCTAGCTCGCATTGAGGCCTGTCTCAACTCCAGGCCATTGTGTCCGTTGACGGACGACCCACAGGACTTGGAGGCCCTGACACCTGGACACTTCCTGATTGGGCGCCGCTGTTGTGTCCGCCTGAGCGATCCCTCGGGGACGTTCAGGTCGCGAGGATGAGTCGCTGGCAGCTGCTCCAGCATATGACGGAGCATCTTTGGGAGCGATGGTCTAGAGAATATCTAGCCCAGCTCCAGGTCCGGGGCAAGTGGCTCATCGCTTCTCGTCCGTTAGACATCGGCGACCTCGTGCTCTTGGCGGATAGCCGATTTCCTCCTACTCGGTGGCCTCTCGGCCGCATCACCGGCTTGCTGCCTGGCCCGGATGGGCACGTCCGCGTGGCGCAGGTGCGCACGGCGGACTCGACCCTGACCCGGCCACTGGTCAAGCTGGTGAGGCTCCCTGTGGATCCGAAGGGGGTTCATCCCAATCAACCTTCGACATGAAGGGGTTCAACAGGCCTTCACGGACGCAAGACCGCGAGTGCGGCCTTCCTGGTGGGATTTGTTCCACCACTGACTTCCGTCGCCGCGACGGAGGCGGGCGGTATGTTCCGTACGGCACGTGATGCCGTACGGAAAGTCGGTGCGAGTCAACGCTGCAGGGCGGGCGGCCTGATGCCCGGGGCGTTCTCGCTGGCGGCGGGGGACTCGGGCTCTCGCGAGCGAGCGCGCGGGACCCCCACTAGGTCCAACCGCGGCCGCTACACGGCGCGGCTCGCGATTCCGCTGCCCGCGGGCAAGATTCGACCGCCCGGATATATAACCAGGCGCGCGATGCCTGGTCCTGGCCTTGTCTTGTCTTCTGCCTGGCCAGTTTAGGTAGCAAGTAGTGCTACACGTTAGTGCATCGTGTTACTGGTGATTACCGACGCGCTTTCTAGGCTTCCTAGGGCGATCGGGTATTTCGTTTCAGATTCGAACCACTGCTCTATAGACTCTGCTGAGTTGAAGGTGGCGCCGACACACCCTGCTGGGTTGAGGCAAATGGTTCGAATCTCGTTTTGTGATCTCGGGCTCACGGCGTTGCCGTGATCTTAGGAGCGACTCGACCGTCTCCTCGGAGCTTCGAGCTTCCTTATTGCCCAAGGGTCCGTAGGGGGCCTTGGCGGTTTTGGAGCGGCTCGGTCGCAGTCCTAGAGCGTTCGCGCTCCTTCGTCCAAGTGTCCATTGGGAACTTGGCTTTCTCGCAGGAGCGACTTGGTCGTCCTGCGAGCCGGAGCTCTCGGAGCTCCGTTTCCACGCGTCCTCGGGACCGTGGCTGGCTATTGGCCATTACGCCCGGAAGGGCAGGCCATCCGAAACGACGGAGGTCGTTTCGTAGCACGTCCTTGGCGTGCTTCGGGTGCCGCGCACCGTTGACGTCACGGACGTGTGTCCTGCGGAACTTGCGTAGGCGACGTTGTTTCGCTTGTATATAGCTACGTTTAGGTTCTTCTGCGTCGTTCTTCTGCGTTATTCTCTTCTGCGTTACTACTGCGTCTATTGCGTCCATTGCGTTTACACTGCGTGTCACTTTACGTCGGCACGTGCGCGTGCTTCTTCTCTCATGTTCTCGCCGCCGTCCCTGGGCATGGCCCAGTCGGCGCGCGACGTTGCCTGATCAGCAGGGTCTGTGGTCGCCTTGCGAGGCCCCGGCCTTTGATCAGGACGACCGGACGGTCACCGAGCGGACTCGAGCGAGCCTAGACGCAGGCGGACGTCGCTCTGCGATCCGTACTTCCAGCCAGCTCTCCGGAGCTATCATATGTTCGGGCTAGTTCCGAACAGTGAGTAAATCCTGGAGAATCCTCTACGTCAAGTCAAAACGAAATATCCATGTCATGGTCATAAGGTCCTTCTGTGTATTTGATGGGACATGCAAGGAGTCCTATTATGAGACGTTAAAACCATCTTAAACTATCATCGCGGAATTATACAGTCGACAATTGAAGTAGTTAAGTAAACAATTAATCGAGAAACGATCATATTTTGCGACGAAGCAAAACAAAATGATTCCTCTGCACGACAATGCTAAGTGCTATGTTGCATTGAGGACCCGGGATACTTTAATGGAATTGCGATAGGAAGTCTTACTACACCCAGCATATTCTTCAGATATTACCCCTTCAGATTTTCATTTATTTCGTTTTATGCAGCACAGTGTTACTGGTACACAACTTCGCAAAGGAGGAAGTGTAGCAATTCATCGATAACTTCATTCATTCTAAAAGCAAAGACTTTTTTTATCTTGACTTTTTTCTATTGTGGTCCATTTTTTGCCTGAGAGATGGTAAAGAGTAGTAGATAATGCCGGAAAATATTTTAATTAAAGATATTATGTTATAATAATGTTATAATAATACTATGTTATAATAATATTAATACTGTTGCGCTCACTCTCACACTCGCGCTTACACTCAAGTAAATGAAGAACACTCGCGTAAGAACAACAAGCTTTACTATTTACAGCGTAGCTCAATAAAACTTAAAACAGGAATAACTCTCTATTTTATAATTCTCAATATTCGCGTCTGTCAATCAAGACAGCTGGTCAGAGACTCTCTATCAGCTGTTTTTGTTGTTTACTTCTTATCGATTTTCCGTCGTCAGGACAATTCTCGCTCAGATGTCAAAATCAGCATCGGATGCCTAAGGCTCACGGACAACGGACGCTGCCATAAACCTTGTGGTTCGGATACAACACTGCTCCCCCTCTTCGAAAAATTGTCGTCCCGACAATTCTCTTAGGCAAGGTCATCTTCTTCCTCGATTCCAGAGATCTTCATGGCTCCTGTCCTACCCTGAGCTGCTGCTACAGGTTACCGGACTCCATGAATTCTTGATCTGAATCAAGGGTTCTGAAGATCTTGACTCTTCGCCTTCACTGTCTCTATTCCTGTCCTTTAGGAGGAGATTAGTCTCCAGGACCTTTTCAAAACAATCCGCTTGTTGTTCCGCTTCTTCGTCCGCTTCCACCTTGGCTCCTCTTCGGACAGGGGGGAGGGGGAAACTGTGGTGGACCCAACGTTCTTTTGAAGAACACCCCGAGTCTCTGCTTCGGCATTCGCCCAAAGCCCCACGGAAAAACCACGGTCAAAAACTGTGGGGGAGGCAGCCTTCTTCCATTTCTTTTCCTGGATATGGTCCTCCGAAACCGCTCTCCAACATTAAACCTTGAAAATAAACAAAATGAACGCAAGATTTGGTTTAAATAATTTTACTATTAAAAATTTACAGGTTTCTGATGTTTTCCCTGTTCCTTCCTTTCACTAAAAGAAGCTAACCTATCTGCATGTACCACTTTATTCTTACTCTTACTTGATTTCCTAATACAATAAACTACCTCATTCAACCATTTCACTATTTCATAAGGTCCTTCCCAATTACTTTGTAACTTTGGAGCTTTTCCTATTTTTCTTTGTGGATTGAAAAACTAAACTTTTTGTCCTTCTTTAAATAAATATTTCCTAGCTCCCTGATCATACGATCTTTTTACCTTTTCCGTATTTAAAGTCATTTTCTGCCTAACACTTTGATAAACTTCATCTATCTTTTCTTTTAAGTCAGAAACATAATCTCTAAAATTTATAACACAATTCTTCGGAGGAGTTCCTCGAAGTAAATCTAAAGGTAACCTCAAATCTCTTCCGAAATTCAATTCTGCCGGAGTCATTCCTGTTGTCTCATGTTTTGCGGATCTAAATGCTAAAAGAAATAATGGAATCCATTTATCCCAATTTTTCTGATTTTCATCAACAAACTTGGATAAATACTGAAGGATTGTTTGATGTTGACGTTCGACTTGCCCATCAGATTAAGGATGAAGAGCTGTAGTCCTTGTCTTTCTAATTCCTAACATTTCTGAAAGTTCCTTAAATAACTGTGATTCAAAATTCCTACCCTGATCAGTGTGAATTTCTAAAGGCACTCCGTATCTCGAAATTACCTGACTGACAAATACTTCAGCTATGGTGTTCGCCCTGATATTTTTCAAAGGAAAAGCTTCAACCCATTTTGTAAAACAATCAACTATAACTAGAAGATACTTATTTCCTGAAGAAGTTACTGGCAACGGACCAAGTATATCCATTTGAAGTCGTTCAAAAGGAGTTCCAACATTGAAAATCTGAAGAGGAGATTTTCCTTTATTTGAAGGCCCCTTTTTGGCTACACAAATCCTGCAAGTTCTACACCAATCTTCAACATCCTTTTTACAAGTTGCCCAATAAAAACATTTTCGAATTTTCCCTAAAGTCTTATTAATACCAAAATGTCCTCCAGAAGGAGCGTCATGTGCTTCTTCCAAAATTTGTTTAACTTCTGAACGAGAAACAACAACTTGAAGAATACTTTTTTTAAGATTTGGTGCTTGCTATTTCTTATAAAGAATTCCATTTTCAACAACTAAAGTATCCCAGTAAGATAAATAAATTTTTGAAGAAATATTTCCAATCGCCATCTCCTCCCGAGTAGAACGTTTATCGGATTCTTTTGCCAGAAGAATTACTGAAATACTTGGATCATTAAGTTGTTCCTTCCGCCAATCCTGACTAAAATTTTCACTTAAATTTATTCGTGCAACTAATTCACATTCCTGATTTTTAACTTTCACTTCTATCCTAGAGCAATACTTACAATTTTCTTCTAAACAAGGTCGTCTAGACAAAACATCTGCATTTTTATATAGTTTCCCCTTTCGATGAAGAATTTCGAAATCATATTGTTGCAGTCTTTCCATCCAACGTGCTAATTGACCTTCTAATTCTTTGAATGACATCAACCATTTCAACGATGAATGATCTGTCCTTATTAAAAATTTCCGTCCGAACAAATAGTGATGAAAAGATTTGATTGAATCCACTACAGCTAACAATTCTCTTCGAGTTACACAATAATTTCTTTCCGTTTTACTCAAAACACGACTAAAATAAACGATCACCTTTTCTACTCCTTCTTGAATTTGAGAAAGTACTGCATCAATATCGTGATTTGAAGCATCAGTGTCTAAAATGAAATTTCCTTCTTCTTTTGAAAAAGACAGAACTGGTGAAGATGTCAGAACACTCTTCAGAATATTAAAAGCTTCCTGACATTGGGAAGTCCAATGAAATTTTGTTCGTTCTTCTGTTAATCCGTAGA